TATTGGATTTCTATTTCTATTTCTAAATAGCTTGAAATAGATCTATACTAGTCTCCCTTTATTTATTTATCAGCACAAATAAAAAAACATAAATATAACAAAGGCAACAGTAAAAAAAAAATATTGGGTTTCTGTCGTGATGGACTCTTGTGACGAGCCGATTGACAGATGATGGAAGCAGTTAGCTTCCTCCCATAATTGGGGCTTACCAGGGGTTGTGACTCTAAATATATATGTGTATATATATATAGTGAAAAGACTAATCAGTTATTAATAAGCGAGTAAACCCTACTCCCTTCTAGCACTGATGTTGTTACCCAGCTGTATAACAAAGCGTCTTGCTGGGGAAAACTGCCAGCCAGGTTGGTAGGAGGGGTTAAGAGAGGACCTAACTTGGAGTCCCTATGCCGCCAGTAGCATAAACTTGACCTGCTGCAAAATCCATGAAGCCTTCCGGTCATTCCCGAGAAACAGTCTGGTGCATCTCTTGTAACATAAGTAGTAGATAATAAAGTTACTGGCTTTCGTTGTTTATGATTGGCTCTGCTTGCTTACATCCGTCTGCAGGAAAACAACCAAGCTCAGATACCACCAAGGACCCGAAAATTACCGTATTTTTCGGCGTATAAGAGGCACCTCCCCCCCTCCCTACAAGAGCGTGGAAATGTTGGAGCATCTTATACACCGAATACAGCCATTTTTTGGCCTCCCGAAGCCCTGCCCTGCATCCCATTTTTGCGAAAAATGGGATGTTTTTCACAAAAACTGAGGCTTTTTTGCCTTCTCTCAGCCCCCAGCAGCATTCAGCAGGCTTCAGCAGGGCTGGGCCAAGGCAGAAACGCCCCCAATTTTGCAAAAAACAGGCAAAAATTGGGCTGTTTCTTTTGCAAAAATGGAGAGGGTTTTTTTGCCTTCCCTCAGCCCCGATGAAGCCTGCAGAGGGCTGCTGGGAGCTGAGGAAAGGCAAAACCTTTTTTTCCCTTACTTACCTCTTCGAAATCTTGGTGCGTCTTATATACCGGTGCGTCTTATAGTCCGAAGAATACAGTAAGAAATTACTGCTACTTACCATTGCAGGGTGCAAGTTTGCAAACCCTCATGGATTCTGGCTTTTCTCCATCACACTGGTCACCTGTGCGGCATGACACCTGCCTGGATTCTGTCCCTTCACCACAGGTGACCGAGCACTGCGAGAAAAATAACAAGCCATGATTCAAACAACTAGGTTCCTGCATGCGACCAGCCAGTTATGCTGCAGGATGGGTGCATTAGTATTGTTCTTTGTTAATGTATGGAAATATAGACAGAAAGCTTCCCAGGACAAAATCCAGAATTGGGATCGCTTGCTTGGATGTATACCTGCCTAAGCGTATTTGGCATACAGGTAGTTTTAGACCAGTGATGGCGAATGTTTTTCTGCTTGGGCGCCAAAAAGGCCTGCACGCACATGTTGCCCACACCCATAATGCAATGCCACCCCCCCTGATGCTTGTGTGCACAACCCACCCACCCACCCCTGCATGCGTGCAGGCCTCACTGAAGCCTCCAGACTTCTGATAGGCTCATTGCAAAGGTGGGTTCCTGTTCTGGTCCCCCTCCATCCGGTAATGAACGCAGACACAGGCTTAGCTGTTTGCCACTCGTTATTCACAGCAATT